ACTCACCTCTGCCAATGTTTACAGGTTCATATTTTGCTATGCAATCTAGATAAAGAAACTTTAAATCTCACACATTTAAAAGTAGGATATGGAAACTATGTAAATAAGTGATTGTAAATTTACTATTTTGAAACCTAAAACTGAAGGAATTTAAACCATCTCATTTCGCAGTAAATTAAAAAGTCTTATGGGAAAGTGATACCTTAGCGTTGGATGTGGTGGTGAATGAACAACTAATGTCAAACGTGGCCTAAAAAATTCCCTCCACTATGAATGATCAAACCCTGACATTTGGGTTCAGGTTCGACCAAAATAAATGAACGGTTAGATTGACGGTTAAGTACAAAATGATCAAACCAAATCAGGTCAAGAACCAATTCTTAGGCAATTGACGCGGCCCAAATTTATCGTTGCAAGTGAAAGGGTTGTAACCGTGGAGAAAGAGCAATAATAATAATATGAATGGGTCGACGATTAGGTACGAAAAGTTAGCTCAATTAAGTTGGACCAACTTTGTGATGTAGCTTGGGCCAACTTAGGGCCATCTGATGGCAGCAAAATATTGGGTCCCGTGACATCTTTGGGCCGATGGAAAAACAAGGCAAGATTTGCTCATGAAAAGCATTACATGGGAGTTGCAGGCCAGATAGGTAGGGTAGATCAAAAGGATTTGATAAACACAAGTGCACGTGTATATAAGAAGTGGTTATGGCATCCGCCGCTAGCGATCAATGAACCCCATTCGGGAGAGAGAGAGATAGAGAGCGGGTTACGTTGGAAGACAACCGTGAATCAAAGGAGGGGATGGATTCCGATTGTTCCGGCAAGCTACGATAAGAGGACCGCATTGATCAGCGACGACGTTGAGATATAGGGAAGGACGACACCTCGAGAAGGAACACTGACGGCCGGAGGTCAATCTATATACTAGGTACGCGAGCTGCTGTTCGTAGTTCTGCTTGTTTCGATGAGATGGTTGGACAAGATATTTAATAAGTGATTACAGGATCCTTCTATATCCCCCTGGACGTGAAGTTATATAAATAAGCATGAGGAACGGGAATGGTTCTGGCATGGAGTACGAAATTGGGGAATCCAAGGAAAAGGTGGGGTTGGTAATTTCAATAAGCAAATGTTTTTGTGCGTGGATGGCAGCTACACAGCTAGGGGTGGTTCACTATCATGTTAGCTAGTTATGGATGACCTCTACGAGGGGCAATCATTGGTGTCCCGTGTGAGTAAGGAGTTAACGCGTGAAGGAAGAAGATGGAACTATGCAAGACAACTAGCAAACCGGTTGGAGTAATGCAATATCCACGGTTTTGTTTTGTGTACCGTAGGTTACCTGATGAATAAAGGAGTTCGTGCTACGTTGCCATCGACACAGATAGTAAGGTGAGTGTAAAAGGGTAAATTCTTCGTCTTACGGTATTTCAGTTTTTGAGATTGACTGCTGTGTGCTATACTTGTCTTTGTGTGTTTATATGATGCATGTGATTGCGTGTGATTTATACTTCCAGTTATACATATTATAATGCTTGCTCTATTTATAAGTAAGTTGAAGTTTAAGAACACGCTTTCTTTTAAGAAGTAACTCACCTTCAAGAAGGTGAAGTCGTTTTAAGTGTTTTTAGTCATTAGCGTCAGTCCGTTGCCAATTGAGATTTTGAGATAGAGCAGCAATATGCTCTCAAGACCTTTGAGATAGAGCATCGGTTATGCTCGTGAGACTTTTAAGGTGAGCAGCAGTTATGCTCTTGAGATATTTTAAGATGAGCAGCAGTTATGCTCTTGAGAATCGTGGAAGAAGAGTCTTCCACGATAAGTTTAAGTTTAAGGAAAACCTGGATGGGCTCTCATACGTATGAGTTGGCAACCGGACTAGCTAGTGAGGGATCCCAGTGTCAGTCATATATTTAAGTCGAGATTTGAGCTTTAAGAGAGGAGAGTAACTTTAACTCCCTCAAAGTTTAAGAGTTGAGATTTTAAGATTGGAAGTACAAACAACTTCCACCAGTTAAAGTTAAGTGTTTAAGCAAAGTACTCAAGTATAACAAATTTTAAACGTAAGGGCGTAGACTGACCCCATCTCACTCACCAGACCTTAGTAAAGGAATGAGCGAGAACCAGATCGATAACAGCTAGCTAGAGGAGCAGTAGAGAGCAGCGAGATCGAGAGAGCGTCTCGAGGCAAGCCAGCTAGAGGAGGATAGTACAAGCGTCACTGAAGGTGCCAGAGATCGAATCCGAGTAAACAACAAAGTAGAGTTTTAGTTATTGCTTTACGATTATGAGTAGTTACTGGAGATTCAGATTAAGAGTTTTGTGTTTGAGGTTTGCCCAAGTGTTAGGGCTTTGTTTTAAGAGATGTCAGTTTAATTTTAATATGATTAAAGTTATTTATAAAAGGTTTCTTTTTTTTTCAAGTCTTTTTTTTTCAAATTTTGATTTACATTTTATCAAGGGTATTTTGGTAAAAGTAGTATCCGGCCGGACTAGGGTGTTTCATTTTGGTATCAGAGCCGGTCTTCCTCTATTCCTTGGTCTCCAAGGAATACTGTAATATCGATCTCCGTTTTTAAAGGCTCTTGTTTTAAAGGAAAAGAAAAATGAGTCAAGGGTTTTCTCTTAAGAGTTTACGGAATCTCCGGTCTACTCTAATCATAATAAGGTGAATAGCTATGAAGGTACGACATGACGGAATGGTAGCGCAAGGGTGCAATTGGTTTAAGAATAAGTTGGGCGACGATTTAGTTAACACGTCGTGGTTTGTCAAATGAGAGATTTAGGCATATGGCGATCGTTAGTAAGAAAGAAAATATGCAAGAAACGTGACCAACCCAAGTAGAATCTCGAAGGCTCTCAAGATCAAGTATCTCGTCGACACGATGGATAGTAGTTTTTGAATTAGTTAACCAACTACTCAGACGTTATCAAACAGATCATTATCATCAACCTAGATAAGGAAGGAGGAACGTTGCAAAGGTCTGTGGAGGTGGAATCAAAAGTGTCAGGACTTCAACTCCAAACACCAGCAAAGAGGTGCCAATTGAAAGGGAATACCTCGAGGATTTTGAAGGAGTTGAGAGAGTAGTACGAGAATTTTACTGCTTGGAGACAAGTGGAGAATCTCATAAGCTAAGACAAACAATGAGGAGAAATATGAACCTTAGAAGGAAGACGTACAATCACCAGATGCCAGTAGCTATGATAATAGGAGGGTGTTAGGGTCTTTGGTCCTAAGTAGTGGAAAGTGGGCAACGAGTCAAGAAACAAAAAAGTATCCCTAGAAGCCACACAAATGGTTTTAGTGGTCGCCACGGTTACGACGCAGTGACAAGGAGCAGAAGAAAGTTTAGACTTTAAGAAATGATAGGGTAGTATAAAGGAAGCGAATGAGGAAATAAGTAGGTTACAGGGAGTACGAAAAGAAGTAAAAAATTCAATAGGTCAAGGCGTAGAGGAGGCATGGTCATTTACATATGACGATAATGGACCCTTATAGATAAACTACGTCACTAGAGAAGAGCGTACATGACCCTTGGGAGTTAGGCTAATAGCAAGCCTTTAAAGGAACAAGACAAGCGTCAATATAATCGAGGTAGAGAACGAGCTTGGATCAAGAATAACAATGTGCTATTGAACAACGCCGAGCTAGAAAGAGGATGGATTGAGATATGAGAGATCCTACAAACCACCAGATCACAAAAGGTCAGGAGGTCGTTGGGGCCATTGAAAGGGGAATGCAAGAGTTCGTGATGATCACTTTTTAGGCCACGTTTGGGTGGAACCTGAACCCAAATGTCGGGGTGTAACATTTCCTCCACCCTTATAAGAATTTCGTCCCCGAAATTTTCTCGAAACTCACTCCTCTGTCAACACCGTTCTTGTATTTTCTTGCCTCAAGAATTTGTTCACACTATGTGAACTTTAATGGTTTCCTTTGTTGGTCCTGTATAGTTTACTATAGTTCTTATATGTACTCTTGACTATAACATGTATTCTCTCCTAGCTCGGTGGCATCGAATAGCTTTGAGTGACTCATTGCCCTTTTAATTCTCCAACTTGGCTTGGTAGTGTGATTTCGATTCTGTTTGATGCCTCGATTCAACTGATTCAATACTTGTTGTTAAATCTGAATCGATATCGAGGTATCACATTTCCTCCCCACTTGTAGAAATTTCGCCCTCAAAATTTGTCCATTGCGATTTCCCCAAGCCGAGCTTGTGGTAATCCATTTTAATACGAGGATTTGTACCTCCTAACTTTGCATCTCTTACTTTCTTTTATTTGATACTCCGTCTTAGCCTCTAACCATCAACCTAATGGTCATTGCCTCGTTACCTGTTCCTTAGCGACAAAATCCTCATACCACTGCTTTTACTTTCTGTAAGCATTAGATGCATTCTTTTGCATAGTACCTCTAACTTGTGATCCATTTTATGATTCTTTCAAGACTCATGACATTCTCTTTGGCTTAGTTGTTCACAACCTTTTGTTTGTTGAACATACTTAAACTGTAGGTGTGTATGTTTCCGTCCTCAGATTGATTGTTCTTTATGCACCCAAATACCCAATAACCTGGTCTAGTTCACTTCTAAATTTAAGAAATGCAGCTTTCGAGAACAACTTAACTGCACTTTCTTCAAAGGGTCTAAGGATGGTGCTCTTTAGCGGGTTACACCATAATTAGATTGAAAATATAATTTGATCTCTGTTTCCCTCAAATCCCTACACCAATGGTCATACTGAATGAAAAAGTCAAGCAAACAGTGTCTCTCCTTCAAATATCTTCCAACAAATGAATTTATACCTTCATTTCTTGATGTGGTTGTCAATCGGGCAAAGTAGTGGGAGCGCAAGTATGTGTCTGCCCATTCTCCGCGTCTCTCAAATAAATTTTTAGTCACCCATTGGTTGTTCTGTAGACCACATTTTTCCACTAATGCCTTCCATTTCTCTTTAAATTCTTCTTGCTCATAATCAGCAGGTACAAATGTGCTCCATTGGGGTTTGAAGTCTGGGCTATTCTTCACCTTGCCCTTGATATTCTTTGAAAGATGCCATGCACAAACCCGGTGTGTTGCATCTCGAAACACAGTAACAATGGCATTCCTCATTGCTTTATCCCCATATGTTACAATTGTATGCAAGTCCTTTCCACCCAACATTTCCTTCGATATCTCTAAAGCCCACTTGTAGCTCCCTTCAGTCTCAGTAGCTAACATTGCACTCCCAAATAAGCAACTAGTGAAATGATGGTTGATACCTGCAATAGCATGTGCTTATCAACTTGTTTAGAGATTAGAAAACTGAATATACGAACCAAAATTAGAACTAAGGTGTGTACTTGTGAAAATAACAAGAGGCATATTGTAAATATTTTTTTTTGTATGTCGTGTCAAATGCGAGCAACTCTCCAAAGCCCGAGAGGTCAGCTATGCTCATAATGTCTGCCCAGAATAAACTGTGGAGCATATCTTCCTCGTCAATAGTGTATCGGAGGATGAAGTGCGTGTCCGTACTTTTCCTCGATTCAAGATAGGCCAGTGCGGCTGCCGCATCACTATGACATAGCCTTTCATTGCGATCTCGGGTGCTAAAATTCATCCCATCTTTTACGATGTACCCAACATTGTCATGTCCTCCAACACTATGCACAACAAGCTTTATGATTCGAGAAGGTTTCATACCTGCATTCTTTTTAAATCTAAATTCAGCCTTGTCAGCCTCTGTTAACCCTTATTGTGATCTCATGTGATGAGTCCACTGCCGATTAATGGGCATATGAGTGTGGTCTTCTTCAAATTTATCCACTATCCATTTTGAATCATTCTTGTTGAATGCCACACGCATTTTTTGCTTTACATTTGAATCTGGTCACCATGGGGGATTCTCGCTTTTGCTCTCCTTTGTTGGGGGCTCTATGTCCTCATCAGAACAAACGAAAACTCCAGTAGTTACCTCTCCCTTGTTGTTCCGAACTTTCTTTGAGCGCCTAATAGAGAATCCCCAAGATCTTGCATAATCATTGTAGAAGTTGTAAGCTTCTTCAAAGTCATTAAATATCTGGCCGATTTTAGAAGGATCTAAAATCACATCTTCCAACCAAGTCGTTTCTCCATTCGGAATGCCATTGTCGGTTTCTCTTGTTTCCTCTAAACTCTCAAGGTCATCTTCAATGGCATTGTTACGAGGATGTTCTTCTTCTTCCATCGATGCAATGGCTACAAACTTCTTTGGTTTAGGGTCTCGGCAAAGTGGGATACTGACGATAGGTGGTTTGTTAGGGTTGGAGGCAGCAGAGTGAGATACTGACGATAAGTGGTTTGGTAGGGTTGGGATCCTAGTCGTACAAGAATTATGCCAACCTGCTGCTGGAAACATATTTTTACCCCTATGTCGTTTTGTCTTTGTTAAGAATGATTATTTTAGTACTTAAATTTAGGTTAGTTACATTATTATTTTAATACTTTTGGTGGCTTAACCTTCCACTTTAATTAATGATAAAAGATTTACCCGTATAGCTTTAATAGAATTTTCTAAGTTGACTTTATAAGGTAGATAAATATTACACTAACTTTAATTAATGATAAAATATTTACCCTTATAGCTTTAATAGAATTTTCTAAGTTGACTTAATAAGGTAGATAAACATTACACTTACCGTAAAGAGAAAAACACTCTACCTCCCCTATATTAAGACGTGTGAAACCCCTATATGCTTTCAGAAATAACCAACTCTGTGACGGCAGGATTAGAAGAGCACAGTTACGCACCGTTCTGTGAAGCTGGAACAGAAGAGACCATGGGAAAACCAGGGTAACTCAATTATGTACACGAGGAAGAAGGGCACCATCGTAAAGTCTCTTTTTCTTCTAAATTCCTCTCTTATTCATTATGATTTCTTTTTTATCTCAGGGACAAAAACAAGATGCAGAACATTATGGACAGCGGGATAATGACAAGATCAAAGGCGCGGTCGTTCGATATAATGATTTCTTTTTTATCTCAGTTTACATGTTTTCCATATCTCCATCGTTGGCAGTTTATTTTTCATTAAAAACTAAAGAACGACGTTTGTTTTTATTACTATGAATGTCTGGAAAAGTCGTCCCACATTTTCTTCCCAACAATTCACCGAAAAGGTATTTTTATCCACCCCATTAATATTTTTCTTCCTTAAAACGAAATCAGTGGTTATATTTTTATCGAACCCACTAATATTCTTTCGTCTTCCATTGCAGGCAGAAACTAAGTTTAGGCTGGCTCACGTTGTCAACTATAGTGAGGAGGAAATCAAACTTGCTCACTACATATTTGCAAGCTGACTTTCCGCTAAATGAGGTCCTAGTCGATACCATGATGAAATCCTATACGTGAAAAGCACTATGGTCCCTCTGCCCGAACTCTAATGTTGATGCAGATGTAAGTTTTAATACGAATTATTGTCAATTTTTTTAGTAAGGCAACAGATAAGGAACCAAGTTTACATGTGCCTTTCTTTGTGCTTGTATATGATGTGTCCCACCGAGCTTCTGTTTGTTCGTCTTTTTCCACCTCACTTCCTTAACTCTTTTTCGTGTTCCCAAGTTACTAATAATGAGTCGAAAAGATAAGGAATCAAGTTTAAATGTGCCTTTCTTTGTGCTTGTATCTGTTGTGTTCCACCTGGCTTCTGTATCTTCTTCTTCTTCCACCTGGCTTCTGCTTCTTTGTCTCTTTCCACCCAACTTCCTTAACTCCCCTCGTGTTCCCAAGTTACTAGTAATGAGCAAAAAAGACAAGGAACCAACTGTATCTTTGTCTTTCTTTGTACTTGTATCTACTGTAGGATGGTGTTTGTCTCTTTCAATTCTAATATTCTTTCTTTGCTTCTCATTTTGAATAGAGTTAGTAACAGATTGCACCTTACCTCTCTCCTTACCATTCAACTCGTATAATATAAATCTTCTAGAATTTGTTCTACCTGGTTGGTTGGTGTATTAAGTAATTACAGCAATGACTTGCCACTTGACCCTGGAGGAAATTTCGAGGGATAATGGCCGTGGAAGAAGAGTATGTTTTCTGCCTACTGAACTGCAGGTACAATTTGATTTACCTTGTGCATTTATTTTAGGTGAAATATACTCTTTGTTCTATGGTATACAATTAACGTTTAATTTTGCTAATTTAATCAAATCATGATTAGGAAATGGTACTTAACTATGGCATGACACCGAAAAAAGCTTTAGAGTGTTACGGTACAAAGTTTCTCACAAGAGCTCACACCTGCAGAAAGGTTTTCTTCTCAATACTTTCTTTTGCATTTCACTATTGGCTTCCTCATTAATTGTTTCCAGCTATTGTTTGAAGGTATATGTGAATATTCATTTTTTCCCATCAAGCTATTTAACTTTTTCATAACTGGAATGTTAAAATGGTCTACTGATTTTAGTCTTTCTAGTTGTAATGTAGTTGTGTCTGCCAATGAAGGATATGATGCATGGTGATGACATTCATTGGTATTTAGTTGTCATCTTGATGGATGACAAGCAAGTCCATATCTTGGATTCATATCCTTGTGAAGAGCGCCAAACACCTTGTACAGATTCAGTACAAACTATGGTATGGTTAGAAACTGGGAGTGGAATACGATTATATTTGTGAACTAGATTTTTGTTCTCTCCTATTTGTAATAAAGTTACTCTATGTAGATTGGATTTCTCGATGCCTTGTTCGAGGATCTTTATTTACAAGTTGAACAAATGTGCGATCCCCCAGTGATGAAGGAGTTCTCTTTGACAATTCCTTCAGTTCCTGAACAACGTCACGAGTAAGAATCAGTCCTCGTGCATAAATTCTAAAACATACTTAGATACTGACAACTCATATGCTTCATCTAATTTTATGTAGGTATGACAGTGGCGTTTGGGTGTGCATATGGATGATGGGTGCAACTTGGGATGAAGATTATTTTATATGGGTAAGCAATCATTCACTTGCTTGAACTTGCAGTTAAACAACCTAGTGAATTTACCCATTGTCTTTATGAAAAAAATTCAGGCATGTGGAGATATGAGGAGAATGTAACGAGCTTTGTATCTGGTCAAACAACCTGCAAATTACGTAAGACATATGGTCATCAAGGAAGCAAATAGGAATGCGCCGAGGTTTGAACTCGAGACTCGTACGTACAAGGAAGAAAATCGAAAGAGGATGAACAAGAACTAGAGCTAAATGGAGATAGTGCTTCCATGATTTCGTAATCTACGCTTGCTTTTTGGATTCAAGGACTTGTTCATTATATGTTTCACTACATTTCATCAGATTAATGGTTGCATTTCTGTTGGGTATTTTGGATGAACAAATTTCAATTTACATTATCATGGGATTCGGTTCTTTTTGTTCTATGTTGAACTTGTTTGTTTGTTGAACTAGTTAAGTTTATGGTTTTAGAATCTTTGGTCTATATGTTTAGATCCACAGCATCGACACTTTTTGGTACATTTTCAATTGTTCAGTTTGGGATGAAACTAATTCTATTATACTCAAACTCAAGTAATTCGTTTGGTGACCAGCTGGGATTTAATTACAGTATGCATCAAAACTCTTTTTTTTCAGCCAGACCTTTTCCAAATTCTATGTAATCAGCGTATGTGTATGTAATCAATAATCTAATACAGCCGAGATTGTGAATGTTCTCCATCATAATCATAGGATCAGTGGTTCGAAACCTTTCATGAATTAAACATTTTTTCCCTCCCCCAGCCCAACCACTTCAATATCTTCTTTTCTCATTCCTCTTATTCTTCCCCAATATCTCCCTGTACATTTTCTCAGTTCCAATTATCATCTCCGGTCACCAGAATTAAGTTCAGGGGACGCACCATCGTTGCGAAAGGGAGCAATCCGCTAGGAGCTTATCCAACACCTCTCTCTTCTCCGCCAAGCCCACGACACTAATCCAATCTCTTTCACTCTCATCCAGCAACCCAATTGCCGACCTCGCTGTAATCCCATCCCCATCTCTCTACGCCGAAAACCCCACGTTCTGTAGGCACCCACATACCACCAGAAACCCCTACCCGCCAGAGCTCGGGTGCAGCGGCCGGTCAACGAATTCTCCAGCAAGCTCTCCCTAACATTGATCGAGACAAACCCAACTCATCCGCGTGATTGAAACCTTGATGGGAGGAAACTCTACCTCGAATTTTTTCCCTTCAATTTCTTTTCGATCTTGTCGTATACAGAACGACGATGGGAGGAAACTAATCGCTTAGTATCCTGATTCCGGCAATGGTCGTACCACAACCTCTGTTTTCCACGGCATCCTTTTGTGGTCGTACGCCGTCATCTAATTCCGGTGGACACTTTAGGTTTTTTGGTTATGGTTGTTGGATTAGGATGATGAATGTAAAATTGAGTGTAGTTAATGGGGGTAGTTGTGATGAACTGATGATGAATCGATGATGAACGAAGGGCTTGGGGTGCGGTAGGATGAAATTAAAGGTCCACATTACAATGGAATTTTATTATCAATTATATAAATCTTCGGGTTCAATAAAAACCTCTACGAAATAAAGGTATCATACGAGAAAATATAATGGTAATTATTGTTGGGGGACTTCATAGCACGTATAATTATTTAAAGGGTTCAATTTGTAATTTAATTCTTAATAAATACATAATTATTAATGCAATTAATGACCGCCGTTAGATTAGATCTACGGTGCAAAGCATCTGGAGCATGTTATGCGTCTGGAGCGTACGAGTCTGAACCATATATATATATAACCAAAGTCCACCTTCATTTAGTAATTATAATGGACAAACTCCATTTGCGTGATTCATTCACCATTCTTAAGCCAAGCCACGACTAATCCATAGTTGGTTCCACCGGTGGCATTGTAAAGCTAGCAAAATAACCCTCTCTATTGGGATAACCCGCCTGCTCCCGTTGCTATTCTCTAAATCGCTACCCAACCCAACTAAATACTTAACGTAATCAATATCATCATCGACTATATTTAAGGAAGCGCGATCATTACCTCTATTGCGTGCCTTAGTCTAGATAGAGGGATTAAAGGTGTCGATCTCCTAGCTTGGATCGTCGTTCGAGCACTTCGAGCCTTGCCGGAGAAACTACAAGACATGTGATAATTAGCTTGAGCCCCAGTGGACGACGAACAGAGAAAGCGTGCAAATGATCAGTGTCGACCGACTCTCGTGTTTGGATCGCGCAAGGCGGAAAGGGGAAGGCGGCGCCATTGCTTGGTTTTATTAGTTTAAGTTTTCGATAATCGCTTTTGGCTATTAGGTTTAGTATATATGTATCCACATGAAGAGATGTAGAGAGGAAGGAGGTGGAATGTACGTGAGGGAGGAGGAATCCCCACCTATTTCTGCGACTGCGTTTGGTTTAGTTTAGAGACATGCTATTTGTCGCCAACTAAATTGCTATTTGCCGAGAACAAAAAATTAATTCAAAATTGATAATATATACGTTTTCGGTAGAGGAGTTTCACTACCTACAACATATCTAACTCTCAAAAAATGTATTGAATCAGAAAAAATAGACGGTCGCAGGAAAACTAGCCGGAAAATCATCGGAAAAGCTGAACCTCGACATAAACTGCGTACACACATCCATGAATAATCACTAAGCAGGTGCATCGATTTTTTGAGTTTTCGAACAATTTTTCAGACAATATTTAAGGGACAAACGTCGGGCCAAAAGATTCCAGCAGCCTACCACCGCCTCGTCGTCACCGACCAACGAAAACATGTAAGTTTATTTTTCCGACAATTTTTTCCAGTTTTCGGTGATTTTTTACGGCCGTTGAAAGTATTTTCCGGCCGGTGTGTGGCCGGGCCAAAGGATTTTTTCGGCCCGACAAGGTGCGAGCCGAAAAAATCCTTCGGTCGGGCGACGCACCGGGCTGAAAATTCTTTTGGTATGACCGGGTCGACGCCAGCAGAAAAAATTCGAACTGCGCCATAGACGTTAAGCCGAAAGAATTTTTCAGCCGGTGCGTCGCCAGGCCAAAGTATTTTTTCGGCACGACTTGGTCGAGGTTGACCGAAAAACGTTGGACGGCATCGTCGACGTTGAGCCGAAAAAATCCTTTGGCCTGACGGCACACCGGCCGGAAAATTCTTTCGGCTGCCGTAAAAAATAGCCTGAAACTGGAAAAAATCGTCGGAAAAATAAACTTACCTGTTTTCGTTGGCCGGTGATGACGAGTCGGTGGTCGGCGATGGAGGGATGGTGTCGGCTACGGAGGCACTGGGCTTGGCATGGTTTTTGACCGCCAGATTCTTTCGCCCGTTGGGCGTTGGAATCGTTTGCCCCGCCGTTTGTCCCTTGAAATTTGCTAGAATTATTGTTCGAAACTCGAAAAAATCAACGCACCTGTTTATTTTATGATTCATGGATGCGTGTGCGCAGTTTACGTCGACTTTCGGCTTTTTCGATGATTTCCCGGTGAGTTTTACGGCGAGCGTCATTTTTTTCTGATTCAATACGTTTTCTGAGAGCTGGATATGTTGTAGGTAGTGAAACTCCTCTATCGAAGACGTATATATTACCAAATTTGAATTAAACTTTTTTTTGTTGACGACAAATAGCAATTTGGTTGGCGGCAAATAGCCGTTCACTTAATTTATGGTTAGTTAGAGCTTAATTAGTCATGGTAATTAAAAGAGGGTAAATTTGGAAATTTGTGATAATTCTAGGTGCCGGGTGTGACATTACCCAAACTAAAAAAACTCACCCGTATATAAGGGTCCGGATAGTATAACAACACCCATAGTGTTGTTATACTAACAACAGGATTCATTAAGGGTATAAGGGTAAACTTACCTAAAATATAATAAAATTAAAAATAAATTAAAATATCTCAATTTCCAAATCACTCTCGATCTCGATCTCCTCCCCTACCTTTCCCGATCGCTTCTCCTCAGACCTCTCTTCTGCCGCGCCAAGGTTACCTGAGATCTTAGCAACAGCGGCGGCCGATTGTTTCTCGGATTCTGCCACTCCGGTGGCGAATTCACTATGGTTGCCAAGACCGGCAGTAGTAGTAGTCGTATTGGTGGCGCCGCCGCCGCCGATGGCCGCGCAGAACTTCTCGATGGCGGGGAAGAACTCGGACTTCTGGAACACCTCGATCTTGCAGTCGTCGGTGAGGTCGATGAAGGCGTGGCAGCAGGCCTTGCCGATGCTGAACACCGATCCGCCCCCGAACGCCTTCACGATCTGAAACACGCACAAGGGAACCTCGAGTATCGCTATCCAGCACTTCGCCGCCACTTTTGGCTCCATCGTCCCCCTTCTGCACCTCGGCAATGGCACCGGTGGCGGTGGTCCTCCAGTAGCCAAACTTGCAATTTAATTACCCCGTTGTCTTGTATTGTTTACCTCTGTGAACTTTGAGGACATGCAAGTCGTGATTGCTGAGCTTTTCTCTAGGTATACTACAACCCCACAGTTCTAGGGACAGCGTCGGCATCTGGACGAAATTGTGGCCTAGTCATCTTAAGGAATAATTCACTTTTGGCACCTAAGGCATATTCTCTGCTCTACTTTTTTAGTTGCAGATATTCATAGCCTAGGAGTACCAAATACGAGAATCTGCAGATTACATTGCACAAATTAATGCAGTTTTGTCTGGTATCGTAGAAGTTGTGTTATGCAGTTTTGTCTGGTATCGTAGAAGTTGTGTTATGCAGTTTTGTCTGGTATCGTAGAAGTTGTGGCGGCAAAGGCATCAATACAGGATTTGGGTATGTAAGGAAACCAGAGACGATTGAAGAAGATGAAGGATAATAAATGGAATCAAATGATTGCAGAGAAGAAATGGAGAGGGAGGACATTGATGGGGTTAATTTTACACGTCTCGGAGGAGAATTGGATTGCAGAGTAGGAATGGGGAGGGAGGACATTGATAGGATTCATTACCTTTACAGCTTTTTGTGTATGCATTATTGTGTTTTTTATCTCATAAAGTATACCATAAATATGGTTAATCAAACCACAAAAATCGTATCATAATCATTTTAATGCATACCACAAATACGGTAAAACAAACCACAAAAAGCATACCAAAAATCTTCTAATGCAAACCACAAATCCCCTAAAACATACTAGAAACACAATAAACCAAACCAGAAACCTCTTAATTAAGACCAAAAATCTCCTAAAATAAATCACAAACCTCACAAAGCAAACCACAAATATATTAAAACAAACCAGAAACCTTGCAAAGCAAACCACAAAAGTTGCGAAAGCACACCAGAAACTTCTTAATGCAAACCAGAAACCTCCGAATGCATACCACAAATCTCCTAAAACAAACCACAAACCTCACAAAGCAAACCACAACATTTGCGAAGCATACCAGAAACCTCATAATGCAAACCACAAACAGAGTAAATTAAACCACAAAAAAGCAAACCATAAACGTCCCAATGCAGACCACAAATATATTAAAACAAACCAGAAACCCCTCAATGCAAACCACAAAGTTTTTGAAAACAAACCAGAAACTTCTCAATGCAAACCAGAAACACGATAAAGCAAACCAGAAACTTCTCAATGCAAACCACAAACAAGATAAAACAAACCACAAAAGGCATACAAAAATGTGAGAAACCAAACCATAAATCTCACAATGCTAACCATAACATCTGGTGATCGTTGACCGTTGACCGGTCAACGAAGACCGTTGACCGGTCAACGAAGTTCGTTGACCGAACTCCGGTGACCGTCAGTGAGCAGATTCCGACGCCGATAGGCATATTCCGGCCCCGATGACTAGATTCCGACGCCGGTAAGCATATTCCGGCGCCGGTGGCATATTCCGATGAGAAAATAGCATATTCCGACGACGAAAAGCATATTCCGGTGATCGGCGACCAGATTCCGGCGACCGGTGGCCGAATTCCGGCGACCAAAATTTTTGGCAGAAAATAAAAAAATATTTTTTTATTATTTTTATTTTTTTATTGTTTTTAATTATTATTTAAACATATTTTTCATAATGACAATTATACCCCTACTTTGATTTTACACTAGGTCAACTCATCTAATAAAAAGTCATCATAATCCTAGCTTCCTATTGGTTGGAGGCTAGTGTTGTTACAATAACAACACAAAAGGTGTTGTTATAGTATCTAGTCACCGTATATAATCATCCAGATGAAAGAAACACGTGTCAGTCTATACCCTTCTCATCCTCCTCACATCATTCACTGGTTGACATCTTCACGCGCCAGCAAGACGATAGACCCAGCGCAACAATACAGAGGATCTCAGACTAAATATCTAACGGATAACAGCTCAATTTGGCGCACAATTCTTCCTTCACCTCTCCTTCTTACACTCTCCACTGAACATGGCGGCGGCCACAGCAGCAGTCGGGACTCGTCTCTCACCGTCTCTCTCCCTCTCTGTTCGCGGTAATTCTCCCCCAACACCTCGCTGTTTCCTACCATAATCCCTTCTTTCTTCCTTTCTTTCTTTCTTCCTTTCTTTCTTTCTGTTTGTCTCGCTGGCGGAATCTCTCTTATTATACTGTGTTCTTCGTCTCAGATGCTTGTCCTGTCAGCTCGCAAGCGACCCTTTCCGTTTCTCGGCTACCCAATTCCAGATTTGGACGAATTGGCACCACTTTCGCCACTGGGTCACCTCTATGTAAGCATACTCCACCCTTCTAATTCCATTTCCATTGGAGAAAAAAGAGCTGTGCTTTGAGTGTGAATTGATCTGCATTTTTGGTTGGTTTGAGTTCTGTTTGGCGGAGTTGCACTTTGCCCTTTGTTGCCCCTTCTTTTCAAAACTTACCTAATGTTTTCCCAGTCTGAATGGAATTGGGATTCCTTGGAGTTCGTTAATCACTAGGATTTTTCGCTGAAGAGAATCAGTAGCCATGTTTCCAAAGGGTAGAATGGCTAGAATGACTGTACATGAGTCATGAATTGCAAATTCTGGCACATCATCTTGTAGCTGTTCCTTCCAAGGAAATCTCTCGACTAGATGATGTAGCTTCATGTACACAACTTCTCGTGGCTATGACTATCTAATAGATACTCCCACTGTTTCGGTTGCTTTGCTGGGAATTTTGCCTAAATATAACTAAAAGGAAAAGCTTAAACTGAATTTAAAGGCATAACATTTGTTGTGATTTCTCTGCTTTCACTTGCAGTGGTATCTAGAACTGGACTTGTGAAGAGGCAGTCTGCAAGAAAAGCAGCATTAGTTTCTGTAAGAAGCGAGCAAAGCACCCAGGATAGCGGTTTGGATGTATGGCTAGGACGGCTTGCAATGATAGGCTTTGCTGTGGCCATCACGGTTGAAATTTCGACAGGGAAAGGCCTCCTTGAAGTAATGCTTTGGTTTCACTTCCACCATCTGTTCGCAGTTGAAATGTCGACACTATCATGGTGTACTGTAATGTGTTGAATTCAAGCATATTGATTCAATATTCTTCCATTGCTTGCTTGCAGAATTTCGGGCTCTCGAGCCCCGTGCCTACAGCTGCCCTGGCAGTGACAGGATTGGTTGGTGTTCTCACAGCAGTGTTCATCTTCCAATCCTCATCCAAAAGTTAAGATTCCGATTTGGCTGGACGAACATCGGTGTTTAGTAAACTGTAATTTTTGTAACAGCTGCTCCAGAGATGCTCCAAGAAGAGTGGAGAATGTATGCTGTCTAAAGATTCTGTACCCCTCTTAAATCTTTCTGTTGCATATCTTACTCATCTTGGTACTGCTTTAATTGATTCCTCTGAAGCATTTGATGCTTCTTTCTATGGCTTCCCTACTAAAGTATGAACTATGAAGCCTTGTTAACAGCCTGTTTGGTAACTTTGGTTGCCTACTGACATCTGTATCTGATGCAAAGGATTGTCGGTTAGGATGCTCTGGGTCTAGACAACATTTGTTGATTAAATGACATTTGATTCTGAATTTCTGATTCATCTCTGTAAGGGCAGGAATCCATCACCGATTCGTCATTTTCCTTCTTCACTTCAAGTCGGCTTCGACACATGGACGTCCTCGGTCAATTAACATATAACTTTACTAATTCAAACACATATTTTAATGGATCCGAATCACCACTTAGGCCTGAAATCAATAGTATGATATTGTAGTTTGACTTTGGAGTTGAAAGGGCTATCTGAGTATGACAGGTGTAGCTCTCTAAATGGGCATATATTCTGTCTCAACTTTTGGTTTAGGAAACAGTAACAGAAGAAGGAATATGTCATTCATCTCCTCCAAAAGCAAAGTATAGATATCTCCTATGACTAAAATTTGACTTCAAATCCATCAATGGTGGTTATGGTGGCAACTGTTCAAGAACATTGGATTCTACAAACTTTCATCCTTTTCTTCTCCTCCTCAACTCCAATATTCCCCTGAACTTTACAACCGGCAATCTTTGGATTTTTGCTTCAGGCTGTAAGTGTTCTCATCTCATGTATCGCCCCCCACAAGAAAACAACAACGAGGTTCTCATTCCCACCTGCTCTGATCTTCAGTAATTTAACTTTTACTTGTTTCAATTTCCAGGAGTTAGGGAGCTAACTTGCAGGCGGAAATGGGGTTGATCATCTCAAGGATCGCCAAGTTGTTCTTTCCAAAGAGTAAAGTTAGGATTCTGATGGTTGGTCTTGATGCATCTGGGAAAACCACCATTCTTTACAAGTTGAAGCTTGGTGAAACTGTTACCACCACTCCAACTATAGGTATCTATCTATCTATCTACCCTGGAAAATCCTTTTCCTTCTTGCTCAAGGCTTAATCTTCCACGGCCGTAAAAATGAGGAACCATTGTTTGATCTGAAACAGGTTTCAATGTTGAGACAGTGGAGTATAAGAACGTTAGCTTCTCGGTATGGGATGTCGGAGGGCAACAGAAGGTAAGGAAAGCTGCCTGAATTGAGAAGCCGCTGTCATAGAAATTGTCCGTTGGTTTCATTTTTCTTCTTCCTCTTCTTCTTCCAAACAGATTAGGCCACTGTGGAGGCATTACTTCCACAATGTTCAGGGGCTGGTGTTTGTGGTGGACAGCAATGACAGGGAGCGAATCTCAGAAGCGCGGAACGAACTTCACAGGATTCTAACTGATGTTGGTAACCCATTATTTTAGTATGCTGCTCCAAGAAGTGTCCATTGCTACAGAAAAGTTTACTTGCATCTTGGTTCCTCAAATCACGCAATCGTTTCTGAAATGTGGTGTTGCAGAATGAACTGAGGGATTCTGCACTATTGGTCTTTGCCAACAAGCAGGATTTTCCAGATGCCATGAATACTTCGGAGGTTGCTCATAAGCTCGGGCTCCATTCTCTCGGCCATCGTCAGTGGTGAGAAGCGTCCAGATCATACTTAACAACTTCCCAAGTTCTCGCTAGATGCTATAACCTTTACATTTTTCTTTTCTACTGCAGGTTTGTTCAGTGTTCTTCTGCTACATCAGGAGAAGGGCTATACGAAGGGCTAAATTGGCTCTCCACCATTATCGTTGGCAAGCCAGTGTGAATTATATGCAGCTACTTACTTCATTCCCCCTGTTTCTAAGATTTCTCCAGCCAAGGAGATGGCAAGTTAGTGAGTGAAATAGAGAGGAGACAATAAGATGAAATATGTTGTGTAAAAAAAGGAAGAGATATTTTCTTGTATGAAAAGAAGCTAATGATTCATTCAAAATTGCACCAAACTCTGATAGACTGAGTTCAAAGTCTGTGAAGGCATTTACATCGGTTGAGTTCTCCTCTTTTGCTAAAAACATACAAAACTCGAGCCTATTACATCAGTACTACATCAACGCAAGTCCAGAGGACTATTTCGAGTTTTTATCGTTTTGATTTCTTCCTGTTGCCATACAAAACTCACAACCTATTACATCAGTACTCCATAGAAGCAGGTCCAGAAGAAGACTTGGACTTTTTACTTTTCGATTTCTTTTTCTTGCCATTCTTGTTGTCCTTCTTCCTAGGTTTATCTTCTGCAGGAGGCAAAGTGCTCAGTACATGTTGATGGATGGATCCGAACGGATCAGCCTGGAAAGCTGGATGGTTGAGAACAGTATTCAGTTGTTTCCCTTCAATCTCCCTGATTAAGAAAATGATGGTACAGAACAAGGCTCAATGAGTGAAACAAAAACCAGGACAGGCAATATGAGAATAGATCATACTAAGTATAGAACTGAAGCACACACAATAGCTTTCTCCTCGACTTGCAGTTCAGTTTAAACTCCTTTTCAGGTGCTCTCTGTTTTGGAGCATTCAACTCAGGAAGAAACTCAGACAGTGTGGAAAGGTCATACGGCTTCAACTTCTTTTGTCGACTTCTGAGTTTCTTCTTCTGGAAGGAAGAACGAAAGTTTTTCACTTCAACTAGCTGAATAATTTATCCAGAGACCAAAACAATGCAGCAAGGACCAGACAAAACAGCACATCTTAAAGTAGCAACTAATCCAAACGGGTGATTGATGGAACAGCCATAAAAAAGACAATTTCCAGCATTACAGTATTTCCATTCTTAAGAATTCAAAAAAGTTCGCCTGTTCAACTCATAGCATCTTGATCAGACTGATTCCGCCCTTTATTTCCACCTGACGTGGCCAGATTCATGGACGAGTCATATCCAGAAATGAAAAGACCTCCAAACAAGTTTTCACGCAGAGGCTTAATCGATAACTCACTTTGGTTCTAACATCAATACATTTTCCAAGTCATGAATGAGCCATCCTCCAGCATATCCTTAATCAAGCATGCTAACAACGCCATTCACACACCTACCCAATTGCAATGCTAGGGAGATATATACTCGCTATTGACCATACGATTGTAGAGACCGAAACACTTCACACTCAGCCATCACCATTACCAGCCCAGAAAGTATGATTCACGAAACTGCCCAAACTCCCACCCAGCTCGCTCATTCGGGACTTTCGACAAACACCTTAAAGGCTAAAAAGCATTGCCAATTGCCAAGCAAGAGATTATCAAAGCCGGGAAGAACAAATTTGTTACCTTGGCAATCGACTTGGTAGCATTCAGAACAACCGAATCCTTAACCTCTGCATTTAATTTGTTAAAAATCCATTAATCACCAAACTTTGAGATCGACTCAACCATGAAAACGCCCATTTCCCGCACCCGACCAACGGAGCAGGAATCGGAAAGACAGAGAAAGCGAAAACTAGCGACGCGGAAACATGAACTCACTGTTGTAGAAATCGAGCCTCTTCTCGAACTTCCGCTCCGCTTTCGCATTGGAATCTTTTCTGCAAGTTACATAGAGAAGCATTGGAAAGAATCAGAAGAGGGAAAACCCGCCCTAGGAATGGGAGAGAGCTCGCCGGTATATCGATGAACTTATCCAGAGTGATGGCGCTCGGCTTACCTAGACTTTCCCATGATTGATGCTGACCTGACGACCTTTCAACCTTGAGCGCCTGCAACGGAACCGAACTCCAGAGGGTTTTCGGGTCGAAGAAAAGAAGCTCAAGGGGCTGGCGAAACTATTGCGGGAAGAGGTAAAGTAAAACCCCAGAGCGGAGCGACGATGCATCGGGTAACCCAGTTGGACACTGGAGCGGAAGGAAAACCCGACGAAATCAACGGCCCGCTATCCGCTGGGCCGGCTTTGATGTAGAATTGTAGATGGATGGACGTGGTTCGGTGTTATCTTAGGCCCAGATTTGAATCAAATTTATTAGGGCCGGTAATCGGTCGGTTACTGGTATACCGAAACCTCCCAATGACTTTCGACAATCGGTACCGAATGTCAACCAGTTAATCGGTTACCGTTTAACAAGTTAACAGTTAAAACCTCGATTACCGTATAGCCAGCCAAGTAGCAACAGTGGAAACACAGGCCGCCTCTTGAGCTCTCTGATTAGGCTGCAAACACCACGCCTCCGCTGCTCGGTGTTCACTCCCCCGAGATCCATGTTTGCGAGACTAGATCTGGGAAGAAGGTCAATCTACCTGTGGCGACGACGGAGAGGGAGGAGGTTGATTTGTTGTTGAAATAGGGAGAGTATGTAGTTGTCAGATTGCGTTGAAGGTGAGGTGTGAATCTAAGCCTAGTCGAATATCCTCTCCTTGTCACTTCCCATAACAACGACGAAATCGTCATCACCTTCGTCGGCGATGAAGAAGCAGATGGATATGTCGGTGGTGCGAGTTAGCGGGAGGTAGTTCGCCAATTAAGGTTTTTATGGGTTTCTAGCCCTTGTTTTACATGCCTCCTCTCACAATCGAGATCTCTGGACGACATTCCTCTGTCATCTCAAGCGTCCCCATCCAGACTGGCGGCCTTCGCTAGGTCCCAAATCTCCGTGCCCAATTCCAAAACGGTTGTTCCCTCCCTCTTTAACTGTTCGACTTATCGTCTTTGCGATCCCGCGCCATTGCTGCAAGTAGGGAGCAAGGAGGAGATGGTGTCAGATGAAGAGTCAGCGGCGACATTGGGGAGGAAGAGGAAAAGAAGAGGGCTAATTGGTGAGTTCGTCGGCGTTGGAGGTAAAGAGTTTGAGGGAAGAGAGACGAGGATGTTTTCCTCTTTAAGGGTTGAGTTCCGGTATTCGGTTTACTGACTAACCGTCGGTAAATAACCGGGCAGATTTCGGTACATCGATAGTGGGATTTTGGCTACTGTCAATTACCAGTTCGGTTGTCGGTTACACCGCTAACTGGCTCGCCGGTTACCACCCTTAAAATTTATATAAGTTCAGGTCAAGATAAAGAAAGAAAAAATTAATACCTAAAATTGGAACGCTAATAGGTTATTTGGTCCATATTTTCGAAAAATTCAATTTTGTTCTGAACTTTACATTACTCGAATTACTATAATCTGTGTGTTGTCAGTCAAGTTGGAGTGTCAACACCAGTTACTGTTACTGAGTCAGCACATATTGCTAGCGTGGATGCCACGTAGTATGGAAAATTAATTAAATAAAAAATAATACAAATAAACATTAAAAATTCCCAACAATTTTTTTTCAATATTATTATCTAGGAGTTCCGTTAATCATAGGGAAGCTTATCTCTAAGGATTGTCAGACTTTGAGGGACAGGATCACAGCTCGCATCAGAAGCTGGCAATCTCATTACCTTAGCTATGCTGGCTGTTTATAGTTGATTTCATCTATGATTACAAGTGTTACTGTATTGGATTGTTATCTTTCTTTTGTCGATGAAGGTACTGAAGCAAATTGAAGAGTTATGTAACAAGTTTTTATGGAATGTGAGGGAAGGGGGTTTTCTAAAGAGAGCTCTCGTTTCATGACAGAAAGTAGCTTTGCCAAGAGTAGGAGGTATGAGAATCATAGATTTGAAGATCTGGAACCAGACTTGTGTCATTTTAGGAATATTTAGAATCTTTTGGCAGAAGCAGGGTCGATCTGGGTTGCCTGGGTTTGCAAGTACTTAATTAAGCAGAGGACTTTATTGGATCTAAAGCCCTCTACTAGGGTTTCGTGGGTGTAGTGTCGCATTCTGAAGTGTAAATCCCAATCTCAATATTTTATATAAGGTATGAGGGCCTCCTTGCAATGGAATGGTGCTACACTTACAAAGTATTCAGTCCAATCAACCTGGTCCTTAATTCATTACTCCTCTTCTACAATTCCATAGTGTGATACTGTTTGAGGTAAGCCCATTTCCTATAAACATAGCATGTTGGTTTTGACTAGTGGTGTTTGACAATATTATTACGAAAGACAAGTTGTTGGCTTCGAAATTGTTGAGGGAAGATTGTTGTTTGTTATGTCCATGCAGAAGTGAATCTCGAAGTCACTTGTTTGCTTCATGTGCTTACTCTATGTGGATGTTAAAGATTGTCTTGCGGAAAATTTATGTGGCTCCCAAATTTTTCAGGTGGGATGATCATCTCCGGTGGGTAATTCACAGTTGAGGGGTTCAGGTAATAAAGCAGTTGTCCGCAGGTTTTTGTGGAGGCTATCCCTAAGTCATATTTGTAGAGAGAGAGAGAGAGTGAGAGAGAGAGAGAGAGAGAGAGAGAGAGAGAGAGAGAGAGAGAGAGAGAGAATATATGGAGATAGAGGTTGTTGTTCTCCATCACAGCTTGCAACCAGGGTAGTACCTGAATGTATAATGTATGCAACCTCGTTGTACCCAATTCTAGGAGAGGAAGACTATGGTGGGTGTTTAGTTCGTAATTATGTTTTGTTCTTGGTTTTTCTTCTCGAAATGTTTTTAGAGCTTGGTGTGTTGTCGCTGACAGTAGTTTAATGCTTGTTACATCTCCTGTACTTAATGACAATTTTGATTAACCATTTAAAAAATATTATTTAGGTTAACACACTTTGTCCTAAAATTGCTAACTATTTGGACCACTTTGCCCTAATTGTCAAGTTGGACCACTTTGGCCTAACTCCACTTCATCATAAAATATTACTTAAAAATAAATTTATATATTATTTAACTATAAAATGAGAAAAAAATTATTATAAGAATTTTTTTAAAATTATTATGGTTATTTCCGTAACAAAAGCGGCAACCCCTTTGTGGCTACGCTGACAATAAACATTGTTCCTCTAATGCCCCACCTATGACGCTCTTACCCTTAGGTAAAATTTGGGCACGCGATAGAAAAGTAAATTTTGTTGCTTTCGTGCTTCCAGCTCTAAAAGGTTGTTGCAGCTATTGTTATACTTTCGGTACTCCACGCCTCATCCTTAGTTTTGCAACACAAGCTTCCTAATTGCCATAGTAGAAATTGTTTCTTGCCTTAGGCAATCTGTGAATGATTTGGTAGAGAGAGGGAGTATAGAGGAGGAGGAGATAAAGGGAATTTTTTATTTAAAATATTTATTTTTGCTTAATTCATATTATATGAGATAATCATTTATTTATAAATATGTATTTAAATTTATTAATTTTATTAATTTTTAGTGATGACATGGTGTAGGGCCAAAGTGGTCCAACATAATTATACATTTTCGAACATAATTTCTTGATAGTTTAGCTTGGTTTAGGAACGTTCCTTGGCTTATTTGCATTAAGTTGTGTTTCTTTTGTGATATTTCATTACATTTTTTATTAAGCCCGGGATGTTCGACAAGCATCCAGAGGAGTTTCTCATGTCACAGTCGGCAATTCAAGAGTCACGGCCATGATCGTGACATCCCCCCCCCCCCCCCCCCCGCCTGTGAATTTTTCACCCCAACTAGAAGATACGGTGTATTTTCGGTCAATGTAATGGTTGTGAATTCTGGCCATGAGTAGGGAAATCGGGTTATAAGAGTATTTTGATGGGCAATTGTAAAGGGGATCTGGTTTTAGAGTGAAAAACGAGATGAGAAGATTCTAGAGAGAGAAGTGACAAAGAGCTCATCCTTGCAGTTTTCTAGAGCCATCTAATCGCCATTGGAGCTCAACCCAAGGACCGAGGAGTGATGATTGATGAAGAGAAGACGATTTCCAAACTCTACATGAAGATGACAGATGTTTCTCTTGGGGTTTTCTTCATCTCTATGGAGTAGTTTCTCTCTCACTTGGTTGTGAGGAACCCTATTTCCACGTGTTAGATTGATTGTGTTAGAAACCTATGATTGTGAATTCTTACTATCTATTTGATTGATGTTTGATGAAGAATTGCATGAGTCTTGATCATACTCTTTCAATTGTGTTTTTACTTATGAAAGAGAGAATATGATCAGTTCAATAGAGCATATTCAACTGAACATTGTGAGCCGATAACACGAAAGTGAGTCGAATCATAGCAATGTAGTGGGTGTCGTCTCAATAGCTCTATATTATTTGCCTTAAGTTTTCTATACTGGTTGTGGAAACTCTCCCTCCGATTAGTTCATCTAAGTGAGCTTGATTTGCTCAAATAGAGATTCCAAACTAGCTAAGGACTCTCCGCAGTAGAAGTATCGAATCAGTAGATCTAGGAAAGCAAACAACATCAACCTAATGACAAACTAGGGGGATCCCCGAGTGGTCTTCTCATTCTTGAATTTGAACTAGTTTACTATACTTTGCTGCATTAGTTTGCTAATCGACATCATACCTTGTTAGCTAGATAATAATCCAGTTCACGAAGTAACAATGGACCTAGTGGTCCGGGTTGACATTTTATTACTTACTTCCCTATACAACAACCTTTTATTGGTTATACTTGGCCATTGATTGGGAGAGTAGTTTAAAGCGAGTTAGTGCTCCAGTTGGACGGTCAACCCATGGGTCGAGCCAACGTCGTCCAAATAGTGGATTTTTTCCAATATAACATCTAAAAACTAACAAATTATAAAAATACCACCTTTATAAAAGAAATCACTCATACCACCATTAAATACAAAGCGCAGCACCCGCTAGCGGTTAAAACGTGGACCGCAGGGGACTGCAGTTTGTGTTTCTTCCATTCATGAATCCCGTGGGGACGTGGCAGTCGGATTGACTGTTCGATCACCCCACGATCCAACGACTGAACGTCTGCCATGTCAGCGATCCGCGCGACCGCCACCTCGATCTGTACCTCTTGCGCGCAAACTGCCACCTCCCCCACCCCCCCCCCCCCCCCACGGTTTTCATTTCCAGACCAAACCGCCCCCAACTCATGATCTGCTTCCTATATACCCCATCCCCTCTTCATTTTCTTCACACCAAACCAATTCTCTCTCTCTTTCTAAAATTTTTCTCTTCAACCATCCCCCCTCCACCCAAAACTTAAGAAATTGTCATCTTTTGGTTACGGCTAAGTCTGAACTGCCATCAGAAAACATTTCTTAAGTTTTTTCCTCCAAAACACGTCGAACCTCTGTCCGGCTTTCATAAAAAATGGACCAAGATTGGTACTATCAAAAGGGTGGTTATGATGATGAATATCAAGTGATACGTGCTCATTCTTCTCTTTATTTATGTTGTTATAATTTTTGTTAATTAATCTATTTTGTTGTTATGCTATTGTAGATTGGGGCGGAAGTAGATATATATGATCAAAGATACTATCTTGAGCAAGGATCTCATGATGCAAGTGTTCTGTACAACCAACCTAATCATCGTTCAAGGGATGTTTGGAATAATTTTCCTGTACGTATAATTCTTCAACCTTTGTCATAGCTTATTTTGTTAACGTACATAGTGGTTTTCAATTTAATTTTTGTAAATGGTTTATCGTATTGATTATTTTCAATGATTTGGGCTAATACAATGTGATATTTACGTAGAATCTTTACAAAGAGATGCATGCATAAGAAAATGAGGTTTTAAGTGATCATCATGATCCTCCCATTTCTTGGGAAATTTGGGTTTTAAGCGATCCTCATATCCTCCCTTTTTCTATAAAAAATGACGTGTTTCGAAAGAGATGTATACATCTCCTAAGAGTCTATCGAGTTCACTTGTATTGGCTTAAATCATTAAAAACAACCAATACGTATGACAAAATAGTCAAGAAATTTATGTGTATATTTTTCTAAAGATCTACGGTATTCATATTTTTAAGGGCTAATACCACTACAACACCCGAACTATCAAAAAATGTTATTTATATAATATTTTATTCAATATTACATTCTTATCCCGACGTATGACAATTCGTGACATTTGTATCATGACATTTTTGTTTGCCGTTAGAGATAATGGTCGACCTAACAATGGTCAAATGAGTGTTGACTTATTATGATGTGGCATCACATAGATGTCACGTCATAACACATCATTTTGTAATAAATTAAATTGAAATTAAAAATTAAAAGGATGAAACAAACCCTGCTTCCCTAACCCCATATCGTCTTGCCTAACCTACTCTAGTTTAGGGGTCTGGATCTGGTGACTAGGGGGGTCCTTAGTCACCTGACTAAACCTCCCTCAACCTTTGGATTGATTTAATGGTCCAGATAAAGTGATGAATTATTGTTAAACGAGAAGGGTAGTTTTGACATTATAAAAAATTCATCGATTTCTAATTTCTTTTTTGTTTTATTTATTATTATTTATTTCTTTTTTCCCCCTCTCCAACCGTCTTCTCCTTTCCCCTTTCTTGTGATGTCCAGAGAGAGAGACATAGCGGAGGAGAAAGATCCCAGCGCCCAAGGTTGTCACTCGCAGGTCGACCCACTTTGACCCTGACCCGGTGAGAAAATGAGTTGCACGCACCCGTCAGGTCGACCGCTACAAGGTACCAGGTTGGAGGTCAAATTGTGTCATTTTGGTTTGCGAAATGCGCCTATTATTTGATTTTTCTTTTCACCTAAATCCATCTTTGGAATCCTAAGTCGAACATTTGAATATATATCTTAACTTATATTATGGCCGTTGTGGAGCAAGTTTTTGCCACGTATGACAACGAAATTTCCACAATTTTTCATGTAATTTTGTCATTTTTAACATTTTAAGTTATTAGTTACATTAAAATAAAACTAAATAAACATGTATGGCAATCGTCATGACCAAGATTTGAACCTGTGACCTACGATGTCAAACTATCACCATTTCAAATGTTCAACCACCAAGATAAAGTATATTTGATGCTATTAATCACAACAAAACATGTATATCAATAACCATAACTAAGATTTAATCATGCAACCTACAAGCTCAAACTGTAATCATTTCAATTTTTTAACCAATAGAATAAAATATCTTCATGCAATTAATCGCAACTATTTTTTAACCAATAGAATAGCTATCACGGTTAAAATTATATATTCTATTTTTTACCATTGATAAGAAAATCATTAACATCTACAAATAAATTATTTTTAGTTTATAATATGTTTCATAATTGTTTATAATTTCTTAAAAATAATTAAAAAAATCCGAAAAGCATAAATTTAGTTGGTACACAATTATAAACTTTTACATAATTTGACATGTGATTTTCTTTTAAAATTGAAAAATGAAAAGTAAAGAATAATCCTCTTCCTCATTCAAGAACACGAAGAATTTACCATTTTATTGGACGAACTACTATAAATATGACAATATGTGAACCAATGTAAATATGTTGCAATTTGTTAGAAAATACTTACTACAAATATATGAAATATATCAACATAGTTTAGTCATATGCTACAGTGATATATACACAAAATTTAATGTGTTTAAGAATATCACTAGACACCGATGGTCACTAATTTTTTTTTTGTATATTTTTCAAAACCGAATTATGGTTATATGGTTTAAATATGTTTTTGACCAATTGGTGAAAGAAATTAAAAAAAAGTCATGTACATATAAATAATGCATTTGTCATTTTTAAGCTTGAATTTGACATTTCTCGCATATTAAAATGATACCATTATCTTTTCTTTTATGTTATGCTGACTTCTTTCTCTTTTCATTTTCCGTATGTCATTAAATATTCTTCCATGCACAATTATAAAACACATTGTCTTTACTTTTTTCCTAATGTAATTATAATTCCTTTCTTTTCTCTTTTTATTGTTTGACATAAATTCCTTTCTTTTTTCATACTTGAGTGTAGATGTGCAACTTTGAGTCATATTCAGATGAATAACACCTAAGTTAAGAAAGATTTGTAAACGAATCTTAAGCTATTGGATATATGATGGTTGATATGTAAATAATTATTTTAATCCTTACTTAATATAACACCCTAATACATATATTACTATTACTGTTTTTAGTAACCAATTATACTCGGCGGACAACCTTACTCATAAGAAGTCTCGTTTGCCTTGTTCCCAATTGGAGGAACTAGGTTTAGTGCTCTATGTGATTTGTTGGTTACATGATCATTGAGACAAGAAGTTACCTAGTAGAAGTGTACCTAAGTGCATGACCATTGATTTAGGTGCTAGCTTGAGTGATTCCTCGCAACTTAGAAGATAGGGAAACCTTTGTATCTCACATATTAATCTACGAGGTGATTGTGCTTAACTAGAGTGCTTAATGCTTTTAATTAGGGTGTGGATACATGATATGGTACGTGTGCGGACGAGGTGACCATCCCCTTCCAATTAGTAGCTCACCTAGTTGATGCTAGTGAGGTGAGTGTATGACCATCGACTCACCCGCCTAGTGTGCAGACGAGTAGAACCCATTTAGAGAAGGTAAATCATCCCCCCTAGTTAAGAAAATCGGTTGTTGTGACATTGAATCAGTGGACGTGACTAGGAGGGGTCGAGAGACATGATCATTGCTCTGATCCCCAATATAGTGACCTTCGCACCTCAAAACACTATAACCCGATTCAATCTATTGCTAGAGAGATTCAACCCAAACAACATTTTACCTCTTGTGATCTTCCTTGTTTGGTTAGATAGTAGGCCGAGGCCAAGACCTGGAAGGCACTTCAAATACGACATCGGTCACCACTATACTACTTCGCCAATCTAGAGTCTAGTTAGTATCGTCAACGATTGAGTAATAAATTATAAAGCTTGATGTCAATGCATCATTGCCCCCATCCATGTATGTTTGCCCCTCAATGAGACTTATACAGTATCAGAGCTTCCTCAATTATACTGGTACAATTATATACACTAAACTTTCTCAGATGTCCAGGTGAATGGACTTTACAGGAACCAAAACGGGAAGCATGTTTCACATACTAAAACATAATAGTTCATGTAAAAAGTTAAAACAAACTTCTACAGGTCTTACTTTAAACGGCCGTAGTAGCAACAGTATTAGGATTCGAATTTGATACAAACAGATGAAATCAATCAAACTTAGCAAACCTCCAAACAAACCAACGAAACAAGGAAATTGTACAGTTTCTGGCCATTCAACCCCATTACAAAAAGGAAGAAAAACAAAAAATACAACATCAATGGGATGATGAACAATCTGAGCACTCTACCTCCGCAACTTTTGCTGTCTACCACGGTCAGCTAGCCCGTCTCCTCTAGTCCTCTCTATTATTAGCAACCAAAAAGGACCTAATCGATATCTTAAAGACTATTGCATGACTTTATTCCGCTTCACAACATGCTGTAAATTAGTGCAGTAACAACAATGCAACAACTACTCGGAAGAAAGAAAGAAAAAAAACAATGCGGCAACTTCCCTGGGAGTTAGCTTCTTGATCTTCTACAGATGCAGAAACTCAAAAGGCAGCATTCCTTCCTTTTTACATTCTAACAATCCCGCTTCACTGGTATTCACCATCCTCAACTCGGCCTCTAACTTCCGAAACCCATTTCTGAACATCCCATGTAGACTTGACTCCTTCACAAAGATTATTGATGGAAGTGTGTGCTCTCCAAAGCCTCTGCCTTTGCCACAAGCTGAAGTTGGATAATACCGTGCGGAAGAGTCTGCCGAGAGCTGTTCATAACTCAATGCAACCTGCTGAGGCGGGAAAGCTTTTAATAGCTCCCCCCGCCATAATGGGTTGTTGGTCTTTTTTGTTGTACAAGACCTGAACTTGGACATGCTTCTTCTTCAGTTTCTTCTTCCTAAAACGAATTGTCTCTCTGTTTTCCACAACTCTCTTCTCCTGTTCAGCGGTCAATGCTGCCTCCTTTTCAGAGAAAGAGGCAACCATGGCTAGTGCTTCCTTGGCAGCAGCCACAGCTTTTGCAGCCATAGCAGCCTTGTCCTGTGCCACTGCTCTAGCTTCCTCCGCAGCCTTCACAGCAGCATCGGCTGCTGTTCTCGAAGCTGTCACGATCTCCTCGGGAGTAAGGTTATCGTTGAAATGACTACTTAGAATGTCGCTGAGATGGGTCTGGAACCGGGTTGCGGATGGCGAAGGTGGAGGTGAGACGAGGGGGGATGATGACGACTGGGAATAAGGAGACGCAGTGGACGACAAGCAAGGAAGTCGATAAGAAGCAGCAGCAGCAGCAGCACTAGCATTAGCATTAGCAAGTGTGCCGGTATGGGGATCGGCAGAATCGAAAGCACGCTTCTTGTACCCAGTGAGCAGACGCTTTCGTGGGGGCAAAAGGACTTCGTTAGCATCCAAGTGATTCATATCGCATATATTGGCATCCATCATTTCCTTTGTTCGCCCTACCAGAGTAGCCAATTATACAGAAGAGGTCAAACTCAAGGATGAACGTAATTGTATAGCAGATGCTAGATATAATCCATTTACAACAAGGATAAGATTATTGATTGTGGTGAAGAATAGGGCAACTACATTATTTCGTTAAACCGAGCTGCACATATGGGAAATGAAATTAAGCACCAAAGAAGAATTTGAGAAGCATGGAAATGGAGAGAGCCACAAAGAAGAAGACTAACAGCGAGATCCGATCCAAGTAAATTAAACAGTAAGCGACAGAAATCAATCCATCAATGGGAAGCTTGGAAATGAAGATGGGGTTTAGGGTTAGGAGCTCAATTACCTGACCGAGAGAGGGAAACAGGGGACGGGATGGGACGGGATGGAGATCTCTTTCGAGTAGAGGGAGGCAGAAGACAGATTGGTGAAGCCTTATTGACCTAACTAGAGATAGTAGCTAGGGTTTTCCTCCGGAAGGATGAACCAGGATCCAGCCAGCGGAAGGCTATTCTTTCGGCGGAGGGAAATGAAATGAGATAAATGGTTGGTAGTTATTATATGGTTGGGAGCTCTCTTTCGCTAACCGGAAAAATTAATGGTTTATAGTTGAGTGATTAATCGTTGTAGAATACCTGTTGGTTAATCAAATAATTTCAAATTTATAATATTTATCACTTAAAGTTTAACGAATCATTCAAATTATTTCACAAATGAAATTGTAAAAAGTTTATAAAATTTAAGTTCGTAATTAAATTATAAAAGCTTAGGGCCTGTTTACTTTCATTTCTGTTTCCTGTTTTTTAGAAAACAGATGTTGAAAACAGGTGAAAACAACATTTTGTCGTTTCCGAAAACAGCAGGAAGTTGCCACTTTCTGTTTTCATAGTTGGAAACGAATAGAAATCAGAATGAAAAGTAAACAAGTTTTCTCATTTCGGTTGCCAAATTTATCACATGAAAACAGAAAACTGGAAACGAAAATGAAAGTGAACAGGGCCTTACTAAATTTAAGTTCAGAATTAAAGTAACCATCAATAACAGTTTCATCAAGCTGCTATCAAGTTGGTCGGTTGGATCAGATTTGACCGAACCCGTGCTTAAAATGAACCCTATAAGTCATTTTTTCTTCAAACCAGTGGTGGGTCAAAACCATAAAAAACCAGCGGTCTGGCTGAACTGTTTCTGGCTCTTTAAACATAAGAGCATGTGCAGTCAAAATCGAGCTTTAAAACTTAAAAACTTACGATTTTACTCTTCTAGGTCAACAAAACGCTTTCGTTTCCATATAAAATCTTTATTGTGAAAAATCGGACTAAATTGCGTTTTAAAGCTTAAAAGCTTACGCTTTTACGCTTCTAGCTCAACAAAATGCTTTACGCTTTTATGCTTTTAGTTAACTAAATTTGTATTCTTGTCATGAAATTAATTATAAAAAGTATATTTTATAAAAAGTATATTTTAAAGGTAAATCACCAACAATTGATATATTTGATATTAAAAGATACATAACAGGTCTTGGATGCATTCTCAGCTTCAATAGAGTAATCTAGTTGACGAGTTCCCAAATTCATTAGCATAGAGGGGGCAGTGGCTTATTGTTAATATCTATGTTTATGAACTTATTGTTAAGATGCTATGAGTTGTTCTACTTTAGACATGAATTGCATGTATTTATTAACTTATCTAAATTCTGTGCACTCATATTTTACATAGTATATGTCGTACTTAACAGATTTTTAGCCATTTTACACAATGCGTAAAAAACTTACGTTTTTACCCTTTGATTCTACGTTTTACGATTTTACCCTTTTCCGCTTTTAGGTAGAATCGCGCTTTTAACTGCATTGAGAGCATCCACATTGGTATTGCATTTTCAATTGCTAAAGTACATGACATGGGTATTTGCAATTACAAAACTAATCGCATTGATATGACATCCAATTGCATATTTGCAAGCTTGCAACAAATGCAATTGCATATGCAAGTAAAAAAAGCCTAAAAGAAGAAGATTTTTTATTTTATATATTTTCTTTTCTCTTTTACTTTATTTTCTATAATTTAAATATAATATTTAATTACATATTCAATTGGAAATGGATTGCATTGATGTAGGAGCAATGACATTCATATGACTTGGATTGCAAAAATAATGAGGTGCAAAAAATTTATATGCAATTGAACTTGCAATTTCATTGATGTGAATGCTCTAATGATGTGTTTTGAACTTTTCCCAAACCCTATTCTAGAAAACTAAACATATATATATATATATAGAAAGCTTTTAGGGTCATATAATATATTTATTGTTAAATTACTATATGCTACCTGTCAAATTACATTCATGTTATTAACATCTTATATTATTATCACAACTATAGTAAGTATAAAACGGTTTAATCTGATCAAACTCCGATCCGACCATTAAATCTCAAACAATTTGCTTCACCAGCTCGACGGTTTAAATTGGTTTGACAACGTTGATCAATAGTAAACTACGTAAAATCGACAAGGAGGCTAGGAAACGAAGAAGATGAAGTAGAAATAAAATTATTAATTCGAGTTGGATTGTCTTAGTTTACATTGAAGTATTTTTCTTCTTAATTTGTTATGTGGTTAAAATAATGAACCAGTGGACCAGTCAAGTGGCGTGGTTCATCTAGTTTTCATATTCAACTTAAGGGTGTCCAATGGTTTGGTTTGTACCGAATTGCACCAAACAGAACTAGTGTCTGGATCATACCGAACCGAATATAATGTTGTTGAATGAACCGAATATAATGTTGTCAGTCATTGATACCTTAAATTTTATAAATACGGATTAAAATGACTGAATTTACATTTGGACCAGACCAAATTGGATCGAATGCATAATTGTTCAGATCCTTGGTGCTAAGATGTATTTCACTGTTGGATAACAATTCTCATGAGTCTAGTTCGTACAATTGCAAACCCCTAGTTCAACCGTGAAATTTTTTTTGGTCCATCATTAACCATAAAAGAAAATAAATCAGAGCGCTTTTGAAACTGGCTTGACGGTTTTTTTTTTTATGAAGGTGATAAATGTATTAAGGGAAAAAGGCAAAGAGAAAGTACAAAGAGCCACCGGAACGAGCACAAGAGGTGCCAGATCCGGAAGAAAAAGAAAAGAGAAAAAAAGAAAAAGGACGAGAGTGGCAAGCCAAGGGCCTAACCACAACCCAAACAGCAAGTAGCAACAAGAGTTCCGGGCAATGGGAGAAACAAAACAACAAAAACAGTCCCGAAAAGCAAAACCAGAAACAAAAACGGAAAAAGAAGGGTTTTCTAGGCGCAAGCAGGGACGCGAGAAAGAGCGCCACCCCAAACGAGGACAACAGCAGCAGCCAAGATGAAGCTTCTTGAGACAAAAAAAAACATAGACTCCGGAACGAGGATCACTGCGAGCAAAAAAGCTGGTGAAGGCTGTTCCACAGCCATTGGGAAGCTTGAATTTGGTATGTTTTTCCATGTGCGACAATCCACCCTGTAGCCATTTTGAGAAATTTTACCCGGGTTCCTTCAACGCTAGTCGCGGCATTGTTGAAAATCCTTTGATTCCGTTCCAGCCTGATCGACCACGACACTGCGTGAAGAGCATCATGTTTGAACCACATTTTCACGCTGTCAGGAGTAGTTGCAGGCCATGTTCTGATTATGGTGCTAAGATCCGAATTGAAAGGGAAGACAATCGATCTGCAAGCTCTCCCTATCAATTTCCAAGCTTGATCTGTAAAGGGGCAATTCACAAACAAATGTTGGGCAGATTCTTCATTATTGCAACAAAGTTCACATCGATTTGCTAAGTTCCATCCTTTTCTTTGAAGCATGTCAATAGTCAGCGTCTTCTTGTGTGCAATGATCCAGAGGAAGAACCAAATTTTTGGTGGTACAATCTTCCTCCAAACAGACTGCGATGGAAAGTCTGAAACACCAGGAAACCTATTGACTGAAAGAGCTTTGTACATCGAGTTAACTGTGAAACTAAACTCCGGGTTGGGCTGCCAAACAACTCTACAAGGGTTGTTAGCTTTATCAAGAAATTTGTACGAATTAAGAAGGTCAAATAATCTCTCCCTCTCCCTTTCAGCTCCCCCTCTCATATGAAAAGATTAGTTGATGTTCCATAATGTATGATTACCTGAAAATTTGACGATGTCGTTGATCCTTGCTTCCAGGCTTGAGGCAGCAACAACGACGCGGGGAAAGGAAGTAACAAGTGAGCAGCCCGGTATCCATCGGTCCTGCCAGAAAGCAACATGAGCGCCTCCACCTGGGTCAATGAAAGCATGATTCCAAAACTGATCATATTCTCTTGTAATATTAGCCCATACAGAGTTTGAACTGCATCCTCCAATTCTTCCAGTTTGCCATTGAGAAACTCGATTTTTATATTTGATGTCAATAAGGGATCTCCACCAACTATTTATGTCGATTGCAAACTTCCAAAGCAATTTAGAGAGCAGCGCGTTATTGAACGAAGCAAGATCAGAAATTCATAGACCTCCACTATCCCTCGTCGCTTTGCAAATCTTTCAATTGACTAATGAGAATTTCCTTTTTTCACCTGTACCACTCCTCAAGAAATTTCTTTGGATTCTCTCGAGATTGTTGATCACAGTCTTTGGAGCTTTAAAGAGGGAGAAGTAGTAAACTTCCAAGCTCGAGAGAACTAATTTTATAAGGACCAATCTTCCTGAAGAGGAAAGATATCTGCTACTCCAGCTGTCAAGGCGTTTCTGATAGCTATTCACGATTGGCTCCCAGAGAGCATTTGTATTCAGTTTGCACCGACGGGGTAGCCAGATATTTTGAAGGTTGATTACTCCATTTGCAGCCAATGATGCTCGCAAAGAAATTGGGAGCTGGAACATCACCAACTGTGTACAACACCGACTTTTCGAGGTTAATTTTCAAATCAATGATTGCTTGGAAGCACGCTGAAGTGGCAGTGATATGCAAAACCTTCTCAT